TATACACACACACACACACACACACACACACACAGTTTAAGCAAAGGTCTTGAAAATGCTTGATGCAGCTTTCATTCTCAAATCTGTCTCCATATAAGAATCACCTGGAAAGCTGTTAAAAATCCTGATGCTCAGACTGGATCTCAGACAAATGAAATGAGAATTTCTGGAGATGGACCCAGGCATCTGTATTTTTTACTTTATATTTAAAGCTCTCCAGATGATTCTCAAGTACAGACAAGGTTGAGAATCAGTGCCTGAGAAAGATGATATGCAGACTGAGATGACTTCTGTAAAAACTCCTCTGGAGTTCCAGGAGAATCCAAATTCCAATCGTTATAGACTAAAGAGTGACAGATGATTAAGACACCCTCCCTATGCATAAACATGCATCTCTTCACTTATTCATTCAACCAATACACACTGAGTGCCTATAATGCCTCACAATGCAAGGGGTGCCAGATCCTCTTCCCTCCCCCTTACGCAAGCTGGAAAAGTGAAGAAGACAGACAAAAAACTAGTGAAATCTGTAAGGAATATTTACAAACTCTGCTAAGTGCTATCAGGAAATAGATGCTGGGAAAGAACAAAGTGGGGAGGAGACTGCCCTGCAGAAGCATTAACCAGCAGGCCCACCAAAGGATCACCTCACTTCCTAGGGATATGGACTTCTGCTCTGACTTACTGTTTACTCTTGGTTGGGCATTTGATAATCCTGAAAGGGTAGATATTAACTTGGAAAAAACTGTTAGCTAACAAGCAATTCTTGTCTGATGGCAATGCAAATACATTCGTCTTAGAAAAAAATACAATAGCCAGGTTGCACTTGTATGACCCTGTAGGGTGTTACAGGTTTATACCTAATTTAGCAATTCTAATCCAGTATCATTTCTATGACTATAAATAAGTCTGACTCTCTATACTCTCTTGAACCAGTTTTACCATATGCTAGTTCCTTCATGAATTAATGAATCTGACAGAACTACTTTAGGCAGGATAGTAGGGACAGGCTCTCAATCCTGAAGGTTAGGAAGGAGCCAGCCAGGGGAAGCAGAAAGGAAGAACAGATCCCCAGGAACCCAAGACCGCAAGATAAAATGGGCATATGGCTTACAGCAGGAAAGAGGTCACCCAGAAATGGCTAGAAGGCCACTGAGACTGGGGAACAGGTAGCGAGCAAGGGGTTGAGGTTTGAGATCAGGATGGAAAAGTGGCAAGAACTAGATTGTGTAGGGCATTACAGAACAGTGTAGGAACTTTGAATGTTGTACAAAGTACAACAAGCAAACTACTGGAGGGTTTAAAGGAGGAAGATGGAATAATCTGCTGTGTATTTTGAAAAGATCATACTTTCAAAAGTAGGAAAAGAGGCTGAGTATGGCGGCTCATGACTATAATCCCAGCACTTTGGGAGGCTGATGCAGGAGAGTGAGTCCAGCAGCTCAAGGCCAGCCTGGGAAACATCACAAAACACCCCCATCTCTACAAAAAGGCATATATATTAGCCAGGCATGGTGGTGTATCCCTGTAGTCTCAGCTACTCAGGAGGCTGAGGCAGGAGGATCATTTGAGCCTAGGAAGCAGAGGCTGTAATGAGCCATGATTGCACACTGCACTCCAGCCGAGGCGACAGAGTGATGCCCTGTCTCAAAAACAAAAAAACAAAACAAAAAAACAATTGGGAGGCTGAGACGGGCCGATCACTTGATCTCAGGAGTTCGAGACCAGCCTGGACAACATGGCAAAACCCCATCTCTACAAAAAATACAAAAATTAGTAGGATTAGTAGGGAGTGGTGGTGCATGCCTGCAGTCCCAGCTACTCGGGGGGCTGAGGCTAGAGGATCCCTTGCACTGAGGAGGTCAAGGCTGCAATGAGCTGTGATCGTGCCACACTCCAGCCTGGATGACAGAGCGAGTCTCTCTCAAATAAATAAAAAAAAAAAAAGGTGGGAAAAGAGATCACAATAGAGACAAGAGGAGGGGCTAGGGAGCCAATCCATTGTGGTATCCAGGTAAGTAGTTGAAGGTTGCCTGGTTTAGTAGGGACAAAGAGATAGAGGCAACAAGCAGTGAGATTGGAGCCACGCTGCTAGGATTTTTGACGGATTCTATTAAGAGGTGAGGGTAAAGAAGGAATCCAGGATGACCACTGGGTTTCTGGTTTGTGCGACTGTGGATGGTGGTGGCAGTCACCAAAATGGAAAGGACTGGCGGTTAGAGGGTCACGCATATATACACAGGTGCATGTCATTCATGACATAAGGGTATCCATCTACAACTCCCTGGGTATGACGCCCTGGGTGTGACGAGGCTAGCACACCCTTTCAGATTAGGTTCTCACAGAGTGATCTCTTTGGCCTTCAAGATTTGTGTCATCAGGCATTAAGCTAATAGATTTCAAGCAACAAGCTGGAAAATTCTAAGTGGCAGCTGAAAGTTTGGCCCAATCTTGCCCTAATTCTTATTCAACATATGTTAACTGCAAATAATTTATATTTAATCAATCTTTAAATGAAGGAAGATAATTCAGCATTAACTCCGGGTATATATAAATCTTCAGAGGTAAAAGGTAGCAATGGGTTTATAAAATAAAACTGAGAAAGCCTTATATTTGTGATAAACTGTTAATCCTTTACCCAAGTGATAACTTCAACAATCCTGCTCCCTGCCCTCAGGAAATTTCGCTGCCAATCTGGGCACAAATCAGGTAAAAGACTTAAGTCTAACTTAAAATAAACAACAAAAGTTTATTCTGTATACAATAAAACAGCTCTAACTTTCCCAGAACAAAAATTGGAAGATACTATAGTAAAGTGTAATGATCATTTACAATGGAATAAAAACTATCAGTGCCTACCACAAATCCAAATTCAATGTGATGCAACTTTCAACTAATTAAAGAAAATGACCGCTATGTCTTGCAGCAATGAACACTAAGCCTGCCTGTCAAATGACACTCCATCAAGAAACCTATTCCAGGCCGGGCGTGGTGTCTCAAGCCTGTAATCCCAGCACTTTGGGAGGCCGAGGCGGGTGGATCACGAGGTCAAGAGATCGAGACCATCCTGGTCAACATGGTGAAACCCCGCCTCTACTAAA